TTGAAAATTTTTATTCTAATTGTCATTCCATTGATGCTTGTGTATAAAAAGGCTTTGGAATACAGTGATAGTGTCTTTCTTTTGGGTAGAAGATGGATTTGTTTATCATACAGGAAAACAGATGTCTCTTTCCATGGCAAAAGTTTGGGCAGATACGCTAGACGTTTCTCTAAGATATTGGGGTTTCCTATGCTCAAAATCTCACAGATATGACCAAACCTACTACATGCACAGCATCTCCCTGTATCAGTTGGGGGGTGGGGAGCTGCTTGGCAGGGTGAGTGGAAGACGGAGAAATACAGGGAGCCCTAGAGAGTATTGGCAGGTCCTGTTCACATGGCGGGGCCATGTTGGCTCAGATGGAAAGTGAAGGGAGGGAGGACTCAGGCCCACCTGCTTTGTCCTCTTCCCTGTGTCGAGGAGCCCTGTGAAACTGCCCCGTCTTCTCTGATGCAGGCCTGGGGCTCTGTGTGGAGCCTACATTCTCCAGGTTTGCCTGCCGAGAAGTGGCAGTGTGCTTAGATTATAGAAGTATTTTTTGTTTTTGCTTTTAATAATTAATGCTCTTCATTGAACCGAAGCTGGACTCTGTGCAGCCTTGATTAATCTCTTGGTTCCCGTGTGAGGAGCACCTCTTTCTACTATGGCCCCACCACCTAGAAAGGAATAAATTTTTATCATTGTTTGTTTAAACCTCCCAGAAAGATGAGGTAAGGCAGCGGTAGATTCAGCCCTGGCTGTTCCTCTTCACTTGACTAGATCAGTAACTTTGTGTTTGTTTGTTTTAAAGGGGTTTTATTTATGTATTTGAGAGAGAGTGAGAGAGCAGAGGGGGTGTGGAGGTACAAGCAGACTCCCTACTGAGAGCAGAGCCCTGTGCGGGGTTCCACCAGGAGCTCAATCCCAGGACCCTGAGTTCAGGACCTGAGCCAAAGTCAGTCTCTCCCTTTTTTTTTTTTTTTTTTTTTTTTTTTAAGATTTTATTTATTTATTTGACAGAGAGAGATCATAAGTAGGCAGAGAGGCAGGCAGAGAGAGAGGAGGAAGCAGGCTCCCCGCTGAGCAGAGAGCCCGATTCGGGACTTGATCCCAGGACCCTGAGATCATGACCTGAGCCGAAGGCAGAGGCTTAACCCACTGAGCCACCCAGGAGCCCCAAAGTCAGTCTCTTAACTGAACCAGCTACCCAGGTGCCCCTAGATCATTCACATTTATACGCAGATGTACCTTGCTATGGGCATTCGCAGGTTAGAATAGAAGAACATTATCCTTGAAAGACAAAAATTGGACAGGAGGGGCACCTGGGTTCTGTGGTCACATGACACCAGGGTGACCTATGACAGGTTCATACACTTCCATTTCCTCTGTCCTGTATGTCAGATCCCTGCACTGTAAGATTAATACTTTTTCTCATTTATCATCACGTACCTCGGGAGCACTTACTAAAAGATGTGTATAAATCATCTCATTTACTCTGGAAACTCCCTTCCCTGTTTCACTTTGTAGTCTGCTTTGGAAACTGAAGGCTCTCTCCTGTGTTTACTGGAGATGGCAGTGTTTGAAGGGGAGATGGTCAGTCATGTCACAGATAGACTCTTGCTTCTCACTTCTCTGTGGCTCTAGAAGAAGAAAACCTGCATCGTATACGTTCCACTGTCTTAAATTCTGAAGTACAACTTGGCGGAAAGGTAAATGAGTCAAAAACTTGATGCAGTAGGAATCTAAGAAATAATAGGTATTTCAGGTATCTCAGATTTTGTTTGTTTCTTGGTGTGTTTGTCCGTCAAAAAAACCTTTTTCCACAAATAAATTTATAAGTTTTATGCCACTGAAGATGTTTCTTAGTTTCTTAGTTATCTATCACTTCTATTCTTTTTTATTTAATTTGTTATTTCTGTGTTTTATGGTCACTTATATCTTTTAGTTGATATGTCCAGTGGTTTATTTTATTGTATTTTAAAGATTTTGTTTATTTATTTGAAAGAGAGAGAGATCACAAGTAGGCAGAGAGGCAGGCAGAGAGATAGGGGAAGCGGGCTCCCCGCTGAGCAGGGAGCCTGATGCGTGGCTAGATCCCAGGACCCTGAGATTATGACTGGAGCCGAAGGCAGAGGCTTAACCCACTGAGCCACCCAGGCACACCAGTATTCAGTGGTTTAATCCTGTTTGCATTCCCATTGTCACGTTGAAACCTACTGGGAACTTTTCTTTTAGAGTTGCCTCTGTATACCATTCTCTGTGTTCCTCTTACACAAATTCAGCATCATACAGTCTGGGGTAAAACTCAGGCTCTCCTATTACGGAAGTTGGGCCAAGGTTTTTCTTTGAAAGGTGAGGAACAGTTCTACTGTTCTCATAGGTTAGTGTGGATTCATGGGTGAGTTTATGAAACAGTGTTGGAATGTTATGGAGTAGATAGCATATGTTCAAGAAGATTGTTGTTTCTGCTCTTGGCATTAAAAGTTGTAATTGCCACAATATTCTTTACATTCAAAATCATTAAGGATTTCCTCTAGGTTTGTTTGTTTGTTTGTTTGTTTGTTTTAATTTAATACTTTGGCTATTGAAGTAAGATGTTGGCATCACTTGCTAACTTGTGGGGAATATGGAAACTCAGAGCCCACCTAGAAGTCCAAATCAGAATACAAATTTTTTTTTTTAAGATTTTATTTATTTATTTGACAGACAGAGATCACAGGTAGGCAGAGAAGCAGGCAGAGAGAGGAAGGGGAGCAGGCTCCCTGCTGAGCAGATATCCCTACGCGGGGCTCGATCCCAGGACTCCAGGATCATGACCTCAGCCTAAGGCAGAGGCCTTAACCCACTGAGCCACCCAGGCGCCCCCAGAATACGAATTTTAACAAGATCTTCAGTTCATTGTCATGCGCATTAACACAGGAAGTAGACCTCTAGCTCACCCTCTACCTTTCCATTGTTCTATCCCTGTCTTTATGTCTGCAGTACATTATGTTGACAACTATGTCTTTGCAGTGTGTTTTAAATCAGGAAATATGGTGCCACCAATAAACCCTTCCTTTTCAAGACTGTTCTGGGTATGTGTTATCCTGTAACATCCATAGGAATGTTAAGAGGGGTTTTGTTCCTTTGCCAAAAATGGCACTTGGATTTTGCTAGAGATTGCATTACTTCCGATGTTAGGTTATTACTTATTCTGATCTGTATTTTGTGTATTTCTGATTTTTCTTTGTTATTTCCTTCCTCAGCTAAATATCAATTATGTTTCTTCTTTTTCTAGTTCATTGTGGTGTAATGTTAAGTTGCTTATTTGAATTTTTTTCTTAAGCATTTATAGCATAAGAAAATTAAAAGTGGAGTGTCTACAAGGGAAAATTAGCAGAAATAAACAATATAAGTGATGACCAAAAAAATGAAATAGTGTAAAAAGCGAAAATAAGAATTCTTTAGGGTTTTCTATTGATCATGTCATCTGTGAACGGCAATAGTTTTTTTTTCTTTCTTTTTTTTTTTTTTTTTTTTTTAAGATTTTATGTATTTGACAGAGAGAGAGAGCGAGAGAGGGAACACAAGTAGGAGGAGTGGGAGAGGGAGAAGCAGGTTTCCCGCGGAGTCGGGAGCCCAATGCAGGGCTCTATCCCAGAACCCTGGGATCATGACCTGAGCCGAAGGCAGATGCTTAGTGACTGAGCCCCCAGGTGCCCCTCATTTTCTTTTCAATAGGATTTCTTTTATGTATTTTTTCTCTCCTAATTGTTCTGACTAGAATATCTAATACTGTGTTGATTGGAAGTGGTGAAGTCTCTTTATTACCTTTTTTCTGATTATAAAGGAGACGTTTTCAATCTTTTACTATTAAATATGTTAGATTTCTGCTTTTTGTACATATATGGCCTTTATTTGGTAGGGGTAGTTCTTTTTATTTCTACAATTGAGTGTTTTTAATCATGAAATGGTGTCCAGTATGCTCACATTCTTGTTCTACACGAATTAATATGATCATATTTGATCTTCATTCTATTGATGTATAATCTTAAATTTATAGATTTCAGTATGTTGAAACACACTTGAATTCCAGGAAAAATTCTCACTTGATTATGTTGTAAGGTAGTAGAAGGTGCTTCTGATTCTCTCTGCTTCCTTTTACCGTGGCGTTTACATGACTGTTCTTGAAGGTAGTGGCTGGTACTCTGCTTATAGTATCTTCCTTGGCTCTGCAAATGTGGCAGTGCTAGCGTCACAGAGAGTGTCGGATAATTTCCCTTCTCTTCGCCTCTTGGGAATGATCTCATTACATGTTCCTTTGAATTATCCAGTGAATTCATCTGGCACAGGACTTCTCTTGGTTGGGCATTTCTTTTATTTTTCAATCCTACTCAGTAGTGGTAGATGAGGGTTTTTCGTTTTGTTTTGTTTTGTTTTAAATTAATGATGGAGTCAGGTAGGTGCTAAGTTTTCTGAAATTTATACACCTTGTTTGGTTATCTATCTCTGGGCATGTAATTATCCATCATCACCTCTTATAATTTTTTTATTTGTATGGTATCAGTTATACTGTGTCTGCTTTCACTTCTTCAGTTCTGATTTTAGTTGGTCTTCTCTTTCATTCTTACTTGATTTAGTTAAAAGTATGTCAATGCTGTTGCTCTTTCCTGAAAACCAGCTCTTCCTATTGTTGATATTTTTCTGTTTTTGCTATATCTTATTTGTATTTTAAATTTAAATTTCCTCCCTGCTGCTAATTTTAGGCTCAAATGGTACTTTTCCTGATTTTTTTAGGTATGGGAAAGTGCTGTGTCCTCTAGCATGACAAGACTACGGAACTATCTTTTAGGCTATGTCACGGGTACATTGTCTGCAAATTTATGTCTCCCTGGAGGAGTGAAGTTCTGATGATTCCTTCTCAGCCATCTTGCTGACGTTCTCTGATTGATTTTATTTTTCCGTATTAGAAGTTTTCATTATATTCATCTGAGAGTAGTAAGTGGAATGATTTTACTTTTCTCTTATTCGATATCTTTCAGCTGTATCTTCACATGGCACCCAGAGTTTCCTGCCAAAGCTGTGCATAGAAGCTTCTTTCCAAAACGTGGCAGTGGGTAGATATAAACATAGTGCCCTTGAGGATTTACCCTTAATGATAGACTGGAAAAATGATGGGGAGAGTAAAGGGCATCAAAGATATCATGAAGGACATATCCAAACTGAGACAACTGTCCGTAATATGAATCTGACTGCCCAAAATGGTGAAGGATATAAAACACCTTGGAAAACATCCCTTCTTAATCCTGCTTCTTCTGCAAAGCAGTGTCTTTCTGTAAGCAAGGGCTCAGATCAAGTGGTCAAACATACATATCTGGAGAATGAAAATTTGGAAAATCTGGAAAGTTACCTAGTCCCTGCTAAAAGTAATTATTTGAACCATTTTGAAAGTAGGATTGGATTGACCCTTGACTCAAATATTTCTGAAGCCCAGAGATTTAAAACCGAAGAACAAACTACTATGTGGGATCCGTTTGAAAGGTCCTTCACCGAGCAGCTAACTCTCCAGAATTACCAGAACATATTCGATGAAAACGGAATTGTTCAATACAGTGAATCTGAGAGAAAATTTAACCTGGGTTCAAATATTAATATATGTCTGAGGACTCATTTTCCAGAGAATCGTTATAACTTCGATAAATTTGAGGAAGTCCTTTTTCAAAGCTCCAACCTTATTGTATATAAGAGTATGCCTATGGGACAGAATCCTTATAAATACCATGAATTTGGGAAATCTGTTAACCAGTCCTCCAGTGTTGGTGATTATCAGAGAATTCACATGGAAAAAAACTCATACAGATGTAATAAACCTGGGAACATGTTTAGTCAAGCCTCGGGACTAAATATACATAATACAGTTGGCACTGGACAGGAAAGTTACATTTGTGAGGAATGTGGCAAAGCCTTCGACTGGCACTCAACACTATCTCAACATCAGCCAATGCATATTGGAGAGAAACCTTACCAGTGTGGACAGTGTGGCAAGGCCTTTAACCAGAACTCAATGCTTACTCGACATCAAAGAATTCATACTGGAGAGAAACCTTACCAATGTGAACAATGTGGCAAGGCCTTTAACCAGCACTCAAACCTTACTCAGCATCACAGAATTCATACTGGAGAGAAACCTTACAAATGTAAAGAATGTGGCCAGGCCTTTAACCATCACTCAAGCCTTACTCAGCATCACAGAATTCACAGTGGTGAAAAACCTTACATATGTAAAGAATGTGGCAAAGCCTTTAACCTACACTCAAATCTTACTCAACATCACAGAATTCATACTGGAGAGAAACCTTACATATGTAAAGAATGTGGAAAGGCCTTTAATCGGCACTCATACCTTGTTCGACATCATAGAATTCATACTGGAGAGAGACCTTTTGTGTGCAAAGAATGTGGAAAGGCCTTTAACCAACACTCAAAGCTTACTGAACATCACAGAATTCATACTGGAGAGAGACCTTTCGTATGCAAAGATTGTGGAAAGGCCTTTAACCGGCACTCACACCTAACTCGGCATTACAGAATTCATACTGGAGAGAGACCTTACATATGTAAGGAATGTGGCCACGCTTTTATCCAGCACTCACACCTGCGTCAACATCACAGAACTCATACTTGAGGTCAGAAACCTTACCCAAGTAAAGAATATGGGAAGGCCTTTCATCATAGTTCAACCTTTACTCATTACGACGGAATTCACAGTGGAGCCAACATTACAAATGTAAAGAACGTGAGAAAACGTTTAAGGACGACTCACCCCTTACTCCACATCAGAGAATTCATATTGGAGAGGAACCGTGAAATTGTTAAGAATGTGGCAAGGCCTTTATGCAATGTTAAACCCCGATTCCTCATCAGAGAATGTATGCTGGAGTATATTTTGCAAATATAAAGAATTTGGCATGGTCTTTAATAAGAGGTCAAGCCGCATTCAACATCTCAGAATTCACACTGAGGAAAAAGTTATAAATGTAAAGAACATGGGCAAACTTAAGCTGCTCAACCCTTTTCCGTATCTCAGAGTTTATACTGAGGAGAAAGATTACAATACAAGGGGTGTGTCAAGCCTCTAGCCGGAACTCACAGCCTACTCAATTATCATACAGGATAGAAACTGTGAAATGCAGACAAAGTTGCAGTGCCTTTAACTGGAATTCAATCTATACTCCATATCCCCAAATGCATCCTATGAAAACCTAGAAACATCATGACTGAGGAAAGACCTTCATTTTAAATATTCACTGTAGCAAACACCAGAGAGTGCATACACGAAAGTAACTTGAAAGATGTAAATATTTAGAAATGTATGTAAGTGAACATCAAATGTCAATAAATATCACAGAAATCGAGTAGAAATCAGTACATGAGTCAATCTATTCAGACGTTACATCAAAATATTCCTTATAAGGAATAATACGAAGTTAAACACTTAGTATATATGCTATTATGCTTCAAAATAACAAGTGGATGGATTTTTACATGAGTACAATTAATTTCTGTATGTGCTTTTTTTTTCATTGATCCTATCTGGGATTTGTGACTAGCAAATATTAATGTATTTGTCTCAGATAAGTTCAGAAAATTCATTTATTCCTAGTGGGTGTGTGGAAGTATGTGGCTGATTGTTGCTGTGTCAGAGATACGAGACACCCTTCTTCATTTGTTTGGACTCGATATCTAATTGTCCATGGAAGAAGGACGATGTAATACATAATATATGAAGAAAATTTACATGCAGATGCTATTTGCAGTTATAACATTAATGTCAGTTATCATGAAAGAGGTGTTCAGAACAACATTCTTCTCCATTTATTAAACTAAAGAACCCCTGTATAGTATAAATAAAACATTTTACCATCTGGTCTCTGAGGAAAAAGAGGTGGCAGTCCAGTAAAATGTATCCTCATAATAGCTGTGGTTACAAATGTGGAATGTCCAGGGATGCGGTTGAGATGAAATTCTCACAGATACCAGAAGAGGATAGTTAATTCTTCCCTAAAATGGTATATAATTATATATACACATTTTTTAAGAATGACTTCATGCCTGAAAATTATGGAAATCACTACTTCCACACCATTATATCCCCAGACCTTTGCTTCTTAACACTTGTACTCTGCATTTTGCTTAAGGATCATAGAGTGCATTTGAAATTCATACATTAGTTCATGTGTGAGCTTAACATATTTTAATTAATAAAACATAGTTGATCTTGAATATATTACCATGGATGAGTAATGAATGATGTGTTATCCCACCATCAATGTTAACCTATCTAAAGGTTGTAGGTAACTGGTGGAATCTCGCACATATTTGGTAAGAGTGAAATAATATACATAGTCCTCCATTCCTTCATTGGCCTTAACGTTGAAGTACTGTGTGATTATTTTTCCCTAGTTTATCTAATATCATTTTCCCCTCTTAGGGACTAGTTGGATATTATTGTGGACATGTTGCAGATTACATGGGGGTCTTCCTATCTGATTAGCTCAAGTACTGCATAATAATGCTACTTGGGGTACATTTTGTGTAGCCAGTGCTTTTGCAGGGGCCTTGAGCTGACACCAGCCCCTCTTGCTAGTGCATTCCCTAGACAACACTCTGCAGTCACAGGTTCCTGTAACTTCTGTTCACATCTCCAGTCCACCCTTGTGAGGAAACATGTGCCTGGAGTACCATGACTTTACCTCATGTGTCCATGAGAGGAGACTCCCACGGAGCTTACCTAACCCTATTTTATGAGACTGACGCGCTGCCTACTGTGCTAAGAAGGCGCTGCCTAACCCTGTTTTAGTTCGAATGCCCCAATCTGGACTTAGTCCCCGACATTAAAGCACGGCACCATGGCCCCAATTAAAGGTACGTGCACCACCTCGTGTGTAAGGGTGGTGTTCTGACTTTTCTATGAAGTAAGCGTGCACTCATACCAATGCTTGGTGGGTGATAGGTGCCCTAGGAGTAGGAGAAACCTGTTCCAGTAGGACTGATATGTAGCCTCAAGGAAGAGGTAGGAAATACAGAGGATGAGGAACTGGCATGAAATCTGCATGTGGAGAGAGGACACCTTTCCTGGGTTGCACAACTGACCCCCTACCTTTAGAGAAACAACTTCTCCTTATTTCCTAGTGATCTCCAGATTTGCAGTTCCATTTATCCTCATTTCCCTTTCCAGCTGTTGAGGCATCAGACATTCTTTGCTTGTGCTGTAGCTAGTTTCCTCGGTAAACACTGAATGGAGACTTGAGAAATGTAAGGCCAGTGAATGTTCAGATGTTGAACCCCGGGATGTAAAACACAAGGAAGCCACCACCATCCTTAGAAAGATAAGATGTATTGAAAGAAAATGTGAGGGGCGCCTGGGTGGCATAGTGGGTTAAGCATCTGCCTTTCAACTCAGGTCATGATCTCGGGGTCCTGGGATGGAGCCCCTTGTTGGTCTCCCTGCTCAGCAGGGAGCCTGCTTCTCCCTCATTTTTGGCCTGTCTCCCCCCACCTTATGCAATCTCTCTCTCTCTCTCTCTGAAACAAATAAATAAATAAAATCTTAAGAAAAAAAAAGTGTGAAGAACTCTTTAAAGTGTGGGTAGGGCACCAGACAGAGGTGGCCCCCTCCAGGCTCTCCTGAGGCACAGGTAGCTTTGGGTTGGGTCATCTAATGAATGAATACATGCAGTGCGGGGAAGAAACTGGCAAGTGTGGGTTTCTGAAGAGCAGGACTCCTGCTTTGTTTTCATGATTTAATTGAATTCCCCTGCGTTCCTGAGGACCAGATTCTTCTGGATGATCGTGATGACTGTGTTTGCGCAGTTCTAGATCAGTGGTAACTGGTGGAGGAAAGGTATTCGATGACGCAATCATTCGGGCGTAGCTTCGAAATGTCACATGGTAGGGACGCCTGGGTGGCTCAGTGGGTTCAGCATCCGCCTTTGGCTCAGGTCATGATACCAGGCTGCTGGGATCAAATCCCACATTGAGCTCCTTTCTCAGCAGGGAGCCTGCTTCTCCCTCTCCCTCTGCCTGCAGCTCCCCCTACTCGTGCTCGCTCTCTCTGGTAAATGAATTAATTAAAACTCTTAAATCCCATGGTAAAATAGATGTTGGAGATGAAGACTTTGGGTCGGCAGCATAGGCAGGATCAGCAAGGCATGTCCTGTGGTTGCACCCAAGCACTAGTATACCAGGTCCATGACCCCAGCCACGTTTGGAACCAGTGTTGATGGTGACGTTTCATGAAGGTTCATGCACTGCTGTGTGGAAGCTTCCACCCTTTGGTCAGCCCCATGCCGGGTACGGTCCCTTTCTCTGGCTCTGTCTGTGCCATGGACTTGTTGGAGGGGTGGTTCAACAGTCCGTGCCCGTGGCCATTTCTGTTCAGACATTCAGGCCCGAGCGTACATTGACTGATAAATGAATAAAGACTCTGTGTGCATGTTTCTGTGTGTGTGTGTGTGTGTGTGTGTGTGTGTGTGTTTGGGGGAGGGGGGTAATGGAATATTCCACCATAAAAAGGAATTTCATCTTGCCATTTGAAATGATATGGATGGAGCTAGAGAGTATTCTAAGCGAAAGATGTTAAAAGAGAAATAAATTTTCAATCGTATGTAGTATATAAGAAACAAAATAAACAAGAAGACAGGCAAATTACAAAATAGCCTAAGTATAGAGAGAAACGGATAGTTGCCAGAGTGGAGGTCGGTTGAGGGATGGGTTAATAAATGAAGGGAATTAAGGAGTGCATTTGTGTTGAACAATGGGTATTGCATGGAATTATTGTCACTGTTGTACCCCTGGAATTACAGTGTATATTAACTAACTGGAATTGAAAAAAAAGTCCTTTTAAATGTATTGTTTTTTAGAGATTCAAGAAAAGTTTTCCCTTTTTTTTTTTTTTTTAAGATTTTATTTATTCATTTGAGAGAAAGAGAAAGCATAAGCAGGGGAGGGGGAGAGGGAGAAGTGGACACTCCGCTCAGCAGAGAGCCAGATGTGGGGCTCAGTTGCAGGATCCCAAGATACTACCTGAGCCGAAGGCAGATGCTCAACCATCTGAGCCACTCAGGCGCCCCTAGAAAACTCTCTTAAGTTAACTGATATGTAGCAGGGCATAAAATATACCTCTGTAAGCCAAGTGAAACATTTTGTCTTTTCTCTCTACCCAATTATTCCAGAATCCAGAAAATTGGAGTAACTATTACATTTTAGCCAAAATATCTGTTTGCAATGTCAATTTCAGTAAGGATCTGTTCTCATTGGAGGAGACAAAATTGAAAACACTGGTTATGGGGTGCCAGGGTGGCTCAGTGGGTTAAGCATCTGTCTTTGGCTCAGGTCATGGTCCCAGGGTCCTGGGATTGAGCCCCGCATCGGGCTCTCTGCTTGGCAGGAGGCCTGCTTCTCCCTCTCCCACTCTCCAGCTTGTGTTCCCTCTCTTGCTGTGTCTCTCTGTCAAATAAATAAATAAAATCTTTTAAAAAAAGAAAAGGAAAGGAAAACACTGGTTATAAACCAAGCCTTTGACTAGAATGTCCTAGCTGAGAAAGATCTGCATAGACTCAGATATGATGACAGCTATAACGGACTAGGACTGACTTTATGGAGCCAATAAAGCCCCCTTGGAAATATCAACCTGACACCTTGTTTACCGAGTACCCAGCACCTTACCAGGAGAGCAAAGAAGGTAATTTCCTAAGAGGTGCAGGAACCTAAGGATAGTTATGGGTCTTCATGAAGAAACAATTTACCCAGATCTGTTGTTAGTATAAACAAAGTCTTGTGGCAAGTTCATGGCATGGCTCCTGGTGTGGAGACGCTATTGAAGGTTCAATCCTATGCATCCTTATGAAAATTTCCAGAAAAGCTATTTTTAAAGATTTGATAGGTCAGGGGCGCCTGAGTGGCTCAGTGGGTTAAGCCTCTGCCTTTGGCTCAGGTCATGGTCTCAGCGTCCTGGGGTCGAGCCCCGCATCGGGCTTTCTGCTCAGCAGAGAGCCTGGTTCCTCCTTTCTCTCTGCCTGCCTCTCTGCCTGATCTCTCTCTCTCTGTCAAATAAATAAATAAAATCTTTAAAAAAAAAAAAAACGATTTGATAGGTCAAACTATTCTTCCTACATTTATGTAAATAATCAGGATAAGGTTCTAGGTTGGTTTTTTGGGTTTTTTTTTTTTTTAAGATTTTATTTATTTGAGAGAGCTAAAGAGAGAGAGAGAGAGAGAGCTCGAATGCGGGAGAGTGGTGAGGGACAGAGGGAGAAGAGGCTTTTTGTCCTACAGGGAGCCTGGTGCAGGGCTCTATCCCAGAACTATGATATCATAACCTGAGCCAAAAGCAACCACTTAACCCACTGAGCCATGC